GTTAATACTGACCAGTATCAAAGTATTATTCTTTAGAATTTAGACTATGCATACGGAGATGAAAATAGGCCTATACATGAGAGGGAAGAAGGGAAGACAAAGGAACAGACGGACAGGTAGATAGATGCATATAAACATAGACAGACATAAATATATACATATACACCAAGCTTCTACTAAGGGTGCCCTTAACTTGCTAAGTTGCAAACCTCCCCTTTCCCGATCAAATTTTGATGATCCGAACCGTTCAATGTGTGCAAAATGTGCTTCTAAGGGTCCTTGCGAGAAATCAACAAAAAATATGACCAGGAAGTGCTTGATATGAGCAGTTTTTTATTGAACCATTCAATGAAAACTGCTCGGATGAAGCACTTCCCGGTCATATTTTTTGCTGATTTCTCGCAAGGACCCTTAAAATCACGTTCTGATCACATTGAACGGTTTGGATCATTGAGATTTGATCGGGAAAGGGGAGGTCCGCATTTAATAAATTAAGGGCACCCTTAGTAGAAGGGGACTATATACATATATATAAATGAAAATATATGAAATGTATACATGTATGTACATAGATAAAAAGTGTGTGTGTGTGTGTAGAGAGAGAGAGAGAGAGAGGGAGCAAAGCTCAAATATATATATATATATATATATATATATATATATATATATATATATTGATAAGTCAAACAAATATAAACATGTACATAAATACGAAGGCTGCAATTAACATGAGAAAAAGTTTTGAACACTTACTCTTCAAGCAACCAATAGCTGCGCCTTTGGAAATTTTCATTTTCTTCTCCATGTGCATAGTAACAATGCAACACATCAATACTTCCAGCCTGAGAATTTGTTATACAGATTAGTAATTTTAGTATTTAAGTTTTAACCATAACATACAGTATGGACTTCTCATTATCACTGGTATTGCAAAATTATGGAATAAAATCAGTAGAATGTTGTCTCGTCTCAACATAATCCACTAAGAAACAAAGCTTGTCTTCCATAGATATATAAGCACCATCCTTCTGCACAAACCTTAAGCCTTTCATGAGCTTCCTTAACTGTCTTTCCATCTTTTTTCTTCCTCCAGTTATGGCCATCTTTTCTAAAGTATCTCAACACTTTCCGATCAAAAAGAAAAAGTGAACCACCTGAAAAGGACCATGCTTGTCAAGACAAGGTACATTGCCCTGTTCTTCAAAATGGTTCAATTCTAAAAAACATCACAACATAATCTAATGGAGAAAATGCCCTAAAATGAAAAATAAACGTAAGGACAAGTATGAAGATTTAAAGACAACCCCTTGCCAAAGACAACCCCTTGCTCACCTACATTTTAATCATGCTCTTAACTACAAACTGAACATGAAGATTTAAAGACAACCCCTTGCCCAAGACAACCCCTTGGATGCCTACATTTCAATCATGCTCTTACCTATAAACTAAACATGAAGATTTAAAGACAACCCCTTGCCCAAGACCAACCAAAAGAATGCTAATGTAAACTTAAGGCTCTTTAGTCAACTAAAAAATCATGAACAAATACTTCCAGAAATGAAAGACAGGAACTAGAAGAACCAAGAACCCAGATTAAAATTTTTGAAATGAACAGTAAGCATCAATTCAATCTGCAGAAGTAAAAAAATATAAAAAAAATGCAAACACCCAATCCAGAGAATGATGTCCCAACATAATGTAAACTCCCCATGCATTCGAAGAACAGTAAAAAGGAAAGGAATGTCAACAAAATCATTGAAAACGAACAACTGACGCACTACTAAACTCAGTAGCGGATCTATTTCAAGTTGCAAGGCTTTAACAGGAACCTCCATCAGGTAGTCCATTTGAACAAAGGCAATTAGGCAAATAATACTAGACAATGACAAAACACAAAGGAACAGAGAGTGGAAACTGAAAAAATTGGAGATAAAGACCGAAGAAAAGGAGATGATGGCACATTAATAGGCAATGCAGCATAGCTAATAGAGATATCAGTAAAACAAACTTGGGTGAGAGAGAGAGAGAGAGAGAGAGAGAGAAATATAGAAAGTAATAGCCTTGGCTTTTAGAGTCTTAGACAATGTGCATTAGACAGACTGCAAGGTTAGTATTGAGTTTAAACCAATTGACAATAAGTATGAAACCCAAACATCTACTTTCTCTCCCATCCCAAACTTCTTCAATTTTTGTTAACGTGATAAAAGATTGGCCGTCTAGGGCGCATATATGAGATGCGCTTGAATAATTATCATCGGATGTGAACTTCAGGGCTTAGTATTTTTTAAGGCAGAAGAATAAGCAAATATGGAAAATGGACTGAAATACGAATGAACTAGAACTACTTGACCCAAAAGAGAGTGTCCAAGTCTACAAGCAATTTCTCCAAACGATAATTTCCAAAACTCCTATCCGTCTAGAAGATCACGAGAACATAAAAAAAGCATTAGTACAATTTGCTCCGTGATTGTAGATCGGTCAATAGTGGCTAAGAATCATACTTGGAGGCATATTTGCAGGCTCTGGAGCAATACGAAACTTATTGTAATTTCGAAGAATTTCACAAATTTCAGCGGGTCGGAGCCATCGATGCTGGGCCTCCATGAGTATTTGCTCAATATCTGCATTCAGCCACAAACTCAGTTAGTAATCTGCTGCGGACAAATACCCAAACAGGAAAGAAACACTGTAACAGAAAAGCCACTAAACCGCCAGGCTTGAAACAACTAGCACCACGTGCTCTGCACGTGCTCAGTACCAATTATCATATACCATAACTTTTTTGGGTTTGGATGAAAATATTGCATGTTCGATTTTTTTTTTTTTTAAATTATCACAGTTCATATCGATTAATAAGGTCAACACCCTCAATCACTTCGCCGGTAGCCTTTACCGTATTCCTTTTTTCTCATAAACCTAACAAATTTTTTAAGTTTTCCAATGATCTCCATTATTACTAATTTCGTCACCCCTAATACATTATTATATACTACAAATGTTTTTAATTTAATTAAATGAAGATATTGCATGTTCAATTTTGTTGGAAGTTTATCTTTATTTTTTTGATTAGTAGGGTCGACCCCTCAATCACGTCGATGGTGGCCTCTGTTATTTGTCTCATATTCCTTTGCTTTTTGTTCATCAACCTAACAAATCGTTCAAGTTCTTTCAATTTTCTCCATTATTACTAACTTTTGTCACCCCTTTATACCTTTGTATAATCGTCATGCAGTATCTCTATTCTTAGGACTAACATGGGCTCCCATGATATCGGACTCATATTTAGTACTCTCAGTCTTCTTTACAACCAATTTAAGTCATTTCCATCATCGATTTCTTTACATGCAGTACGCATCAAATTTAATTCCGCGGGCTCCATATCCATAGAAAAGTGTTAATCCCTCCATCCCAATTTGTTTGCTCATTACAGGAATTTCAATTTTCTATTGACTCAAAGTATTTGGTGTGAAATGTGTTTAGTTTTCCACAATAAAATAACTTTAATTAGTTGTGTTTCCTTCAACTCAAAAATAAAGGGGTAAAATTGGAAGTTTGGCCTTTTGTGGTTGCTAATTTTCAAAAACTTCAAACAATTTGGGACGGCTCAAAAAGAAAATATGAGCAAACAAAATGCAAGGGCGGGAGTACTAATAATCTGAAGTTTAGTGTTGCGAATCTCGGCTGTGAGTGTACGGATTAATACTAATCTTAAGTTTAATGTACTCTACTTTGGAGGAGATGGAAATAACGTCGGTTGCCAATTACCAGACCAATAGTCTGGATCGCAGCAGTTGGAGTAGCCACTCTTTTTGGAGGCGGCTGTATATGGTGTGTTGAAGCGGTGGAGAAGAGAGCACATGCGGCCAGACAAAGGTAATACAAGGGCCTGAGGGGGTCGGTGGATGGCCATGGAGGTTTCCTAGCTTTGGGGTGTTTTGGTAATATTATGATAGGCAGAGGATATATTGGCCTTTTCACGTGCGCAGTAGATACCTCAAACTGTCTTTTATAACAGGTAGTATATGCTTAAATCACCCAGTTCTATGGAAACACATATTCATCTATTTTAAATGTGAACCTAAGTGAACATTTCACCAAATGGATACTTTCAGTGCTTCTAAGCCACTAGTTCTGCATTAACTTTGGCTCTTTAATTCACCCTATGCCCTACAATTCTCTGCGATAGTTTAATACTCGTTTTCCACAGAAGACTAAAGATGATCAATGATTTCACGTCTATACTAACAACTCGACAAATGCTCCCGTGCAAAGAAGGTTTAGATAATAAGTTAATAACGACTGAGATTATGCGCAATGTAAGCTTAGTAAACTACCAGTAAAAATTAAGTCGATAGCCAAAGTTAATTATTTCTTCTTGGACTTGGCACGGTCCAATTGTTCTAGAAACATCTCGGCCACTTGTTCTAAATCAAAACGCCATAACAGGTCTAAGTAATCCCCTTTGCTTATCCTACAAGGGATCAAACATAAATAGCTAAACTGAAAACTACTGCAGTGTTACTTGAGATATATCAATCATCAGAAGAAGAAGAAAAAAAAACCTAACGATGACCTCAGACAAGTAAAGAGTTATTCATGTGGCCAACCTCAAGGAACAAAACCTATAGTGACACTTTCACTTGCTTATGGTGTGTCTTCAAATTATACAGCAGCCCAATTTCACTAAGAATAAAAGTGACTAAGAGATTTCTCTTTTCATTCAACTTGTTTGGCAACCCTAACTCACCAAGAATGACAGTGAATACAAGCTCTCTCTTTCAGCACAACCTATCAACAAAAACATATGATCCTCGTAACTCCAGTTTCAACTATTTTCCGGGAACCGAGACATCGACACAAAACCATGGTCCAATTTGATCATTATGTCTTCCAATAAAAAACCTACTCTTGATTCCCCACTAATTTCCACCACCTCGGGACAGTGGTGACTTCTCTTTTCACTCAACCTACTCACTTTCCACAATACCAAATGCTCAACCCCAAGGGATTGGCCTAGTGGTCAAGGCCTGGGACTTACGGTTTGCTCCCTCCCGAGGTCTTAGGTTCGAAACCTCTCCTTTGGGGCCAATCCATACAGAGCTTTGCTCTATCTTAAATTGGGACCCCCGCAAGTGAGCAGGGGAATTGGTCCCCCAAGATTAAGCTGGCCCAGAAACTTGAGTAATAAACAAATAATAATACTACCATATGCTCCACGTAATCCAAGCTTCAACTATTCCTCGAGAAACATCGACACAAAAAAAAAAAAGCCAAAACCGGTCCGTACTACTTCCACTAAGAAACCTAGTCTTGAGTCTTGATTCATCGACACAATTTCCAAGCAAAAAATCCTGATTCTCCAATAACTTTCACCACCACGGGATACTAGTATATTCACGTGCACAGAAAGATTCCGAATAAGCATCAAATAAACTAAATTTCCCTAGCAACCATAAACATAAAAACAGACCCTAAAACATGAGAACGATCAAATCGGAACCACAAAGAGTCAACCTCGAAAGTCCACCCCTCAACAACTCACCTAATTGAGCGCCGAGCCCGTACCGCCGAGAGTCCGCCATGAAATCACTCTCTCTCACCTAACCTTCTTATTTCTTCTCTATTCAGCTCCGATCTCAGGAATTGAACTGAAACATCAGTTGAGAGCTCGATCGTGAACTGGAACTGGTGCTCTACCGAGCGGAATTGAATCGGAATTAGTGCGATTGTGATCGGGATCGTGGATAAGAGAAAGAGATGGAGAAAAAGGGAAGAGAAAAAAGGGAAGGGTAGTAGGAAAATGTTGGTTTTATACTGTAATAGGGAAAAGAATGGGGAGCGGGGGGAAGGAAGCTTCTGAGGAAGGGGTGGTGTGAAAGGGCCGCCGAAATGGAACACAGTTGTGTTACTGGCTAGAGAGAGAGGATGACTTTTTTTAAGACTTTCTCTCGGGAGGTCCACTTGGGGGAAGGCCCGGGGAACGAACAATATATTGGTAATCAAAATGGGTACACCACGTCCAGGCGTTGTCCAAGTGGTTCGGCGGACGGATGTCCAGATTTTGGAAATAAACACTTCAAGGTAAAGGATTTAATTTTTCGCAGGACAAGTACCCCTTAACTAAGTGGGAGACCGTGATTGGTGTGACCGAGCTAGCTCTCCTGAGGTTTGGGTTACACAGTCAAGTCTATTTAATGGCTCAGCTATTGGACTGTTCCTCCATTACCAAATAAAAATGAGTACACCAAATGCAAATCTTATTGTAAATAATTTTAGCCGTTCGATTTGTTTGAAATACGGAGTACTTATTTTGGAATATTGTTGAAAAAAAATCTTGATCAAATATCGGTAAGAGCTTGATTTAATTAATTAGTCCGAAGAATTCAAGCTCGTACCAATTTCGGTTGAGATGATTTTTTATATGGACCTTTCAAAAATATTTGAACCGAACTAAATGGCTCGAATTATTTATATAGAATCAGAGATGGGTAAGAAGATTTACCACGATTTGGCTCACAAACTCCCTATGATATTTCATGTCATGCGTAGTAAGATTTACCACGATTTTATTTGAAATCATTTATTATTTATGGGTGGTGAGGACTCATATTTATCACGATTTTATTTGCAACTAGTGCATTAAAAAAAAGTTTGAATTCCGACAGAATCAACAATGTTCAGGGTAAATTACGATGATCAATTTAATTAAACAGCATATTTGTTACGGGAGAAATAAATTGTCAGATTCTGACCATACATTTCTTATTTACCCAAATAAGTCGGTCAAACTTCCAGTGATGTTCGATCAATTTGATCTTTAACAAGAACAATAAACACGTCAAGTATTATTAAAAACAACGGCTGAGATCGTCAAAAAAAAATCACGACGAATCCCTTCAGAAATAACATAAAATGACCATGTGAGTGATCATTATTTTATACGAAAAGAGAAAAGATGTTGATTCATACTTTTATATAACGTATAATAAATATTGGCATGTTGTTGCCTCTTACTAATAATTGTAAATAAAGACTTTGGTTATCATTTTTTATCATCTTATTGTTTTACTCCTTTATATATGTGTATATAGACTAGAGATATAGACCCAATACCAGGCAACAAAACAATGAGCCATTATAGCTAACCAAACCAGCAGTTTGCTCCATTTTTTTTAGTACTGTAGTATTTTAGTAGTTGATTTGGTCTTGATTTAGAAAAATAAATAGTAGTAATCGAATCACCAACGTTCGAATGATCCGAACTTGGCTTGTCAACGGGCCGGATCCAACATCCGATAAGACTCAAATCCGATAAGAGTGGTAATCCGGATCCGATCCGAAAATTTTGGATCCGATCTAAAAATCCGAATCAGATCCGAAAACTTATTTACTTCAAAAATTTTAGCAAATAAAATAAAATAAAAAATTGAAAATAAAAATACAACTTCTTAAACATTTTTTTTTTCAAAATAAAAAAATTTTAAAAAAATTAAAATTTTATAAAAAGTAGTAAAAAAAATAAAAAAAGTTCGGATTCAGATTGATAAACGGATTTAATCCGATCCGGATCCGAAACCGATACCGGCTTCGGATTATCGGATCGACGTTATCGGATTCGGATCGGATCGGAACCGATCTATTGACAGGCCTAATCCGAACCCTATATTTTAGTTTATTGGTGCAAAATGTAAAAAAAAAAAAAAAAGAAAGACTTTTAGAGACTTTTGGTTATTCGAATGGGAGTGGTTAGGAAAAAAATTCAATGTGACACTCAAAATCTCCAATCAAGAAAATTGGTTATTGATGTGTTGCATTTGTGCTTAAAACTATTTGAGTTGATTTAATTGGGTGTACGAATTAATTTGATTCTCACAATCTCCAATCAAGAAAATTTTAATTTGGTAATTGGCACAAATTTAATTTAATTTGATCCTCACAAATTAATTTAGCACTTTTAACTCATTCATGATAAATTTTGCTTCACATAATTGCCTACTATGCTTGTTAATTATTATGAATTGTTTTTCCACTAGCAGAATGCCCATGGTTGAAGACACTTATGAACAAAATTTTATTGAATACGATATTAACTACTCTATCATAATGTTGATCAACTCGACAAAACCCAACGTCATCACAATATCCAAACAACACTAGTAGCTAAATTTAATAGAATAGACCAATCTAAAATCGGTTATCAAGAAATACTTGACACTCAAAAAAGAATAAAGGAATCATACCAAAGTCAGAAAAATGGAATAGAGAACAAAATACAAACAGTAATTAAAAAAATACATGCAATCCACCAAAAGGATTCCGATCAAATTCATTGACCGAGTAATCATTCTATGACCTTGAGGCACCACGTGGCGGTGTCCAAAGGCATTGTTCCCATTAATCACACGAACATTTTCACAAACCACAAGCTAAAGAACCAACCCCTCATAAAATAGATTTATCAAAATATTACAGAAGGGGATATCATTCTTTTTTTTGGATAAATAAATAATTATATTATAGAAGATATTAAGGAAATGTCACTCGTATAAAAAAAAAGGCCACCAAGACTTACAGAAGGGGATATCTGATGAGGTCAACAACAACACTGCACCCGTAGAATGTTGCATCACTATCAACTGTCTGCCAACCGAAGCTAGTCGCCTTGTTCGTTTCCCATATTTATTTTGTTTTAATTTTATTTTTCAATTATTATCTTACATTTTTTTCAATTATTATCATATTTCTCCAATTATTAATTTCATTTATCTCTCTATCTCTATCCACTCATTATCCTTCTCTCTAATCATTATCCTATTTCTCTTTCCACCCACTACGAAAATTAAAATACCCAAAGTTGCTAAACGAACAAGGCCAGTGTCATTTGCGTAGTTTTTTTTTTTGGGTAAACTCCAAATACATCCCCTGTACTTTGATCATTTTTCAACTACATCCCCTCTACTTCATTTTTAATCGCTCGCACCCATTGTACTTAAGACTAGTTTGGAACTGTTAGTATTTCCGTCCAAAATAACGAAAAAGCAGGTAATGGTTTGTTGGTGGGAATTTCCTCTTCTAAAACATCTTTTCTAAGACCAAATTGCCCACAAAATCCATTTACATCCTATACATACCATTCCTCCACAGTTAAGAATGTAACTGATGGACTTATCTCATTACTCAATCATGTGTTTGTTAATAGAGAGACTTGAAAGAGGTTGAACCTTAATTTTTTTTTATGAAAACTTTATACAAATTCAAAGAATCATACCGGTGCATTTTTCTTCCCTTGCCAGTAGTTCGTGTACTTTTTTTTCTTAGACAGTTGGGCCATTGAACCTTCTTTTCATAATAGATGCAAGTAAGACTTAAAAGAGGTTGAACCTTAGTTTTTTTTTTTTTTTATGAACACTCTATACAAATTCAAAGAATCATATTGATGCATTTTCCTTTCCCTTACCAGTAGTTCGTGTACCTTTTTTTCTTGAGCCATTAAACCTTCTTTTCATAATAAATGTAAGCAAGATTTGAAAGAGGTTGAACGTTAAATTTTTTTTTTAATGAAAACTCTAAACAAATTCAAAGAATCATACCGATGCATTTAATTTCCTTTCCCTTGCCAGTCGGTTGTATACTTTTTTTCCTTGGGCATTGAACCTTCTTTTCGTAATAGATGTAAGTAAGACTTGAAAGAGGTTGAACCTTAATTTTTTTTTATGAAAACTCTATACAAAATCAAATAATCATACCGGTGCATTTTTCTTTCCCTTGCCAGTAGTTCGTGTACTTTTTTTTCTTGGGCCATTGAACCTTCTTTTCGTAATAGATGTAAGCAAGTAATTCTTTTATTTTCTCTTTTCCTTTTCAAAACTAAAATCTCCGTTTACTCTTAATCACCTCGGGTGTTGACGGATTTAGAATAATTCAAATTTATTTCGTACTAGGACAGAACCTAAAACTATTTAACCTCAGGACTTATATTTTCATTTCCTTATTACCTTAGGGTGGATTTGCCAGCTACTCAAACTTGTGGACTAAACTGTGGTTTTTCCAAAAAGAATTCTAAAAAAACAGTAGCTGCATAACA